AGGGAGTCGGATCGGGGACGTCGGCTAACCCCCCCCCCCCCCCGTCGGAGTGTCCTCTTTTTTGAAAGTTCAAATATGGTAACCCTAATATTGCAAGTATTCAGCCAGATAGGGGTAGTGCTGGGTATCCTTTAGAATTTACCAATCTGCTTTTAGTTGGCATCACTCAACAATATTCCCTTCTCTCTAAGTGTCTGGAGGGACTGAGTTTGGATGCAGAGCACTAATACAAAACAGCTATGACAGCCTGAAGTGTGCTTCCATTAAGTACCCTGCACCTTTCACATTTTTAAACTTATTGCTAGTAAATATCTGGGCTGAAGGATGAATTGGATGAGGATTCTTGGATCTTAGTTCCACTGCAATCGTGTTTATAACGCCTAAACTTATTATGAAACGGGTGGATAAAAATCAACGATTTTTTATTTAAATCGGATTTTTTGATAAAATGCTTTTTGAGGAAAAAAACCTATCTAAAATAGTTTTAATTAAGATACATTATAGCTCAAAGATATCTCATCATGAAATAGGGATTATAAATTCTAATTCTATAGTATGAGACAATATATTCATGTAATGCTTAAGAAAAGTTTTGTAAATGAGTTCCAATAGTTTATGGATTAGGGACCCAATTTTATGGGGCTCCAGGGGCTTTTGTATAGATTATTTAGGTTACTCTTTCTGTCTACCCAATGGGACTCAGTGCTCAGTCTAGAACAGTGGTTCCCAAACTTTAACAACTTGTGAACCCCATCACTAAAATGTCAAGTCTTGCGAACTTCCTCCTAAAAATGAATATTTCCAGGGATTTTCTCGTTTACCTGAGTATAAATTATAAAAGCAGTGATCTTGGAAATACAAAATTTGTTTTTATGACATGCTTATTACACACTATTTATTATTAAGTATCCCTGGCCTCTGTTTGCCAGAAGCTGGGAATGAGCGAAAGGGGATGGATCACTTGATGATTACCTGTTCTGTTCATTCCCTCTGGGGCACGAGGCACTAGCCACTGTTGGAAGACAGGATACTGGGCTAGATGGACCCTTGGTCTGACCCAATAGGGCCATTCTTATGTTCTTATTTATCATTACAGTATTTTTATTACATTATGAAAATGGCAACACTCTTCCAAGATCTCACTTTCATAGCTTCTATCACTTTGAATAAGCCTGTTACAAGACAAGGCTCCTATCTTTCATCAAGGAGTATCAGATGTGAAACAGCATGAAGGTATTAAGACGCCAACTCAGAGTTCCTCCTACACAAGCATTCAGGTCTTGAGCAGTCCAGACAAACGACGTGCATGTTACAACAAAGCTTAAACTTGTTCGTCATAATAATTTTAAAAACAATACTAGCTGCCTATTTAATTTTAAAAGCAGCAAAAAATATCCACCTCCCTTTCTATTTCTTATAAGGAGTCTTGAAGTTTAAATCTCAGTGTGATAGATATGCTTACTTTGATCCTCTTAGCTCTTGGAATTCCAGGGGCTCTGGGCTGCTGGCCCCGTGCTGCCAAGGATCCCTAGGGACAGCTCTGTCTGCCATTAGGGAAATTTTTCCCGAGAACCCCTGTAACATTTTGTGAACCCCCAGGGGTTCTCGAACCCCAGTTTGGGAACCACTGGTCTAGAAGATACCAAGAAAGATGCTTAGTTTTACAGTTCTCAGACTATGGATTTGTGTCTCCAGAGATAACATGCTTGTTAACAGAAAAAATGTTTTGAAATAAATAATATAGAGGTGAGACATAACAGACCTCAACCCTATTGTGTCTCTGCAAAGTTGTGTACACAGAGTCAATCCCTTACCTCTCTCTAAAAGTGCAAAGTTTCAAAAAGTTCAATGAATAGAAGATTGTTGGGGGCGGAATAGATCTGGACAAGGAGAAGAAGTCTAGAGATAAATGTGAGAAGGGAGGGACAGGCAGTAGAAACAAAAATGAAACTGTTTGAGCAGCATATTCCAGAAGTCTTGAGGTATTTCTGAGTGTAGCCTTCATATGATTTGAGATCTCCCATACCATTCTCTCACTAGAAGGGAAAATCTATAATGGTTTTACAGCAGGCTGTAAAAGAGACCCAGTTTGGGAATAAGAACCATTCAAGAAATATATATTTGATGATGATGTTTTAAAGAAAGTCACACCAGTGAACTGGTGGAAGTCACTTTAGCATTTGGATTCAGAGACTGTTGAAGTGATAATCTCACTTTAAACAGCAGTAGCTTCTTCTGCCGGTGTAGAAAGAATATTTTCTTCCTTTGGACTAATTCATTCCAAATTGAGAAATCGTTTGGGACCGGAAAAGCAGGAAACTTGTTTTTCTTTTCCAGATTATGAACAAACAGGAAAATGAAGGTTTCAGAGGTCTGAGTTAGCTGCAGAAGCCAATATTTTAAGGTTTCAGAGTATGCATCCGAAGAAGTGGGCTGAAGTCCACGAAAGCTTATGCTCTAATAAATTTGTTAGTCTCTAAGGTGCCACAAGTACTCCTGTTCTTTTTGCCAATATTTTAAGTTCCTCATGTTGACCTGGCTGACAATCGATTTTTTTTTATTTCATTTAACTATTTTAGTTAAAAACAATTTTAACAAAAACGAATCTGATTTAAAAAAAACTTGAATGTTTAACAAAATAAAAAATTCATATGCTTGTTTTGTTAAAATATTATGTTTGCTGTTGAAGAAAAAATCCAGAATACATAACACTTGAAAAGTCTGTCTGGTATGTTTGCCTCCTAATACAGCATTGCAAGAAAATCCTCCAAATATTAATGATTAACCTGTTGAATTGGAGATAGTTCACCTCCCAATGACTTCATAAATATCTGCTTCAGTTACCTTTGGTAAATGAAATAACCAAACAATCATTCATTTTCTGATATTGCTGTAAAACTAATCTGAAAAGTTTTCAAAGTAAATCACTTAAAAAATATATAATGTGTACATTTTAAAAATGAAACCTACATCCATCTCTTAGTTGTGAAGAATATGTATTAAGGTTATAACAACCAACAAGAAGGCACTTTTATGTAGAAATCCATGATTAAATCGAATCTTCCTAACTAGTGATTTAAATCAAATCCACCCTGTTATGAAACTTTATGAACTGCACAATAACGTGGAATATTGTTTGGGGTATAAACAAATGTGAAGAATATCTTGGAGGTCACATGTGCCTTGTATTTGGGATTTTTTTCTTAACAGAGGAACTCTTGTGATATTTCAAAATCTTATTTTCCCCACTTTCTTTCAGGTTCCTGTTGCATGCAAATCGTGCCCTTGTGGCTACATATTTATTAGCCGAAAGCTCTTGCATGCCAAACGTGCTGAGAAATCACCACCCACTGCAGGTAAATCTTACTGAGGGGCTTTTCCCTTTCATATTTCTGCTTTGGGGAAAAAAAAATGAAGAGCATGTGAGGTCTCCTGTGTTATAAACTTGGACTTTTGTCAGTTCTTCTTTCCTTTACACTGGGGCAAGGCAGACTTTGAATGTAAGTTAATCTTTCACAAACTGTGAAAGACAAAAGGTGGTGTTTTTGCAGCCTTACTTGGGCGGTAGTGACATTTTATTCATTGTTTATCTTTTAGCTGCTTACTTATTCACCATGCAAATATAATTCCCTACAGAAAGCTTTCTGTTAATCCTACTTAGAAGATAAATGTCTAGAGAAGCCAGATTTCATTGCACTTTGTGACTGAAACTTGTTTTATTCAAAAGTAAATTCCTATTTTCCTTCTTTTTTATTTTTTTATTTTTTTATTTTTAATGAGCTGCATTGAATTTATTAACTCAATCCTGAAATAGCAGAATGTCATTTAACGCTTTGTATAACAAATGGTATTTTGGAAGAACTTAAAATAAAAGCTACTTAAGACGTTCTTTTTAAAGTATGCAGTAAAATAAAAAAATGTATTTTCTCAAATTCAAGGCTTTCTGCTGATGTATATGCAAAGGAATAAGTTGGATGCTTTCTAGCATGATTCATGTTCTCCCTTATGTTCTTTATTAATGGTTTGCCTACTACTAATAGAACCTTAGTCAGAACAAATCCCCTTCAGGGAAGATCCCAAAATAATCTGGTTTAGAATTGTAGAAGTTCTTCACGTACAAGATTTACAGGATCAGAATAATTAATTTAATCTGAAGAGAAAATGTTCAAGTTGTCAACTTTAGGAAAATATAAAGTGATGTCAGACATGTTGATTGTTGCAAGCTGGAGGCAGTGGGCGAATGACTGTGGAACTTGTTTTGGAAGGTGTGATTGGTGTTTTTTCTATTCTTTAGCTAATGGTTGATAAATGAAACTAGTTACCAACCCAGTTAGATGCATTAAAGGCTTTATTATGATTATGCAAGGCTCTTGTGTAATTCCAGTGTGAAAGTGAATACATCTGGCTCTCCTGTCTAATATATTCACAAGCTATATCCTGCCATCTAGCTGTGGCATATGTCTAGTTTACAGTAAATTGGGAGGTGGGACAAAAGGAAAGTAGTAGAATGAGGACCAACAGATAAATACCAAAAACTCCTGGGTGCAAAATTTGGAAGCTTTTCCCCAAAACTAGCATGTGAAAAGTATGAAGGCAGCTTGACTAAGGCTGTGAACACATTACAGCTTAAGTCGGTATAAATTCTGTCACTAAGAGGTGTGAATAAGCCACTCCCCCCCCCCCCCCCGACGTGACGTAAGTTACGCTGACCTAAGCACTGGTGTGCACAAGGCTATGTCAATGGGAGAGCTTCTCCCGCCAACATAGTTACTACCACCACCGGGGCTGGAGTAATTAAATTGACAGGAGAGCTCTCTCCCATCCACTTAAAGCATCTGCACTAGCAGCGCTGCTGTAAGCTCGGAAGTGTAGCCACAGCCTGTCTCTTTACAGCCCCGAACACAATGGGACCTGATGGTAGTTGGAGCCTCTAGGTGCTGCTGTAGTAAATACTGAGTGTACAGTTGAATTGGTGTCTTATGCTGAATTGTATAATATGAGAATGGTTTCAGGAGTGATGGCAAAACAAAAAATTAAGATATAGTGTTTGCCTCTTTATCCATTTCTTAATAGTATTTGGGAACACCTGGAATGAGAGCAGTGACTTTCAGCACATCAGAAGTGATACATCAGGAACCTTTGAAAACTGATCCGGGCAGTTAGTTTCACTGACTTAAGAACTAAGCATTTCCTATGCACTGTGTTGCTAATAGATGCTCCTTATTTGTTGCAAAATGCTACATAAACGTCATCATAATTAAGACTTGATCTTTGTGATCAAAAAAATGGGGTATGTCTGTGCCTTTGCCTGAAACAATTTGCTCAACTCAGCTCAGAGGATGTTGTGCAGATGCAGTCGAGTGTTGTGAACTGCTTGAGAGGTGACTACTGTGCAGGAACTAATCACTCTTGTTAAGAGATCTAAGGAAAGAGGTGGAGTGGGGAAAGAGCTGAGACTGAATAACTACAAAGATATGAAAGCAACCCTAAAATGTTCTCTTTATTCATTTATACAGAAAACAAGAGTGAGGCCAAAAGGAGACGAACAGAGAGAGTTAAGCGAGAGAAGATAAATTCTGCAGTAAATAAAGACTTAGAAAACAGAAAAAGGTCCAGATCTAACAGCCATTCAGATCATAGCAGACGGGGACGAGGAAGACCTAAGAGTGCCTCAGCCAAAAAGCATGAGGAAGAAAGAGGTATGAGAATTAGAAAACCTATTTGGGGAAAGTTATTTTTGTTTTGGGTTTTTTTTAATGGTGTGCTGTCATTAACCCAAAACTTCTGTCGCTCAGAGGTATGAAAAAAACACACCCTGAATGACAAAAGTTTTAACGACTAAAAGCTCTGATGTGGACAGTGCTTCGGCAGCGGGAGACACTCTCCTGGTTATGAAGCTACCGCCCCTCTCTTGGGGTGGTTTTATTTTGTCTCCTGGAGAGCTCTCTCCCGGCAACAAATAGTAGCTACACTGCCCACCTTACAACAGTGCTGTGTAGACATAGCCTTAGTTCAATAGTGGAGTCTCTGTGACTTGAAATCTTTAAATCATGACTTGAGTAACTCAATTGAGGCTGGGGGTCTATTACACGAGTGGGTGGGTGAGGTTCTGTGGCCTGCTGCAATGTGCAGGAGGTCAAACTAGATGATCGTGATGGTCCCTTGTGACCTTAAGGTCTATGAGAAGGAAGAAAAAATGTTTCATGCTGTAGTGAGTGTTAGTTTTCCTATCGAGACCAACACTTGGGTAACGTTATGTATGGGCAGGCTAACTCATTTCCTTCAGAGAAGCAAGAACTGTTGCAAACATCTGCTTCTGATAAGATCCAGTGGTCCTTCATAGGCTTCTAGGCATAAGCAGATTGTCTGCAGGGATCAGAGAGGATTTCCTTCTTCTTACTGTCTCCATAATGAACCTTTACACAGTTGACCACATTGATTCATTTTTCTCTGAAGCAGCCAGTGTAAGTCACTGCTAGAAGTAGGATACTAGGTTATGTCAGAGATTCACACTCTACTTAATACTGAGTGTGTGTTGAACATCTCACAGCTAGTTCTCTTCAGATGCTCTTGGTTCACATGGTACTTCAGACAAGATAAGGGTGCTCCAAATGAGGGTGCCAAAGGAATTGGTGTTAACGATTTTATAGTATTTCTTGAGTTTTTGAGGAAAATACATGCCAACTCCTTATACGCTGCAGTGACAAACTAGGCTGCTCTGCTTAATTGTCAAAGGAAAATAATTAATACGGTCAGGATTGCTAAGGAGCAATTGGACAAAATCGGACAGAAATAGCAAGAGCTTCTTGACAAACTATTATGACCTGTCTTATATCATACTTCTGGTAGTAGTAATAATAGAGGGTGGGGGTTTTCAAAAGTGGTCACTTGGGAGTACAAGTCCTGTTATCTTTTAATGAAATTAATGTTCCTAAGTAACTTATGCAACTTTTAAAAACCCACTCTCAATTTATCTTGTGTTGGATCTGTCCTGGTCTCCGTGCTTAACAACACTGTAAGGCATCAAATATGCACATCTCTAAGTAGATCCCAGGCCTTTACTGTGCGGCTTTGTGGCTGTGCCTCTTGGAACCGGGGCCGGCTTTAGGCCGATTCAGCCGATTCCGCTGAATCGGGCCCCGCGCCTAAGAGGGCTCCGCAGCTGTCCACCCCGCCCCTAGCTCACTTCACCCTCCTCCCTTCCCCTGAATGCTCCGCCCCCTGCTCCTCCTCCTCCCCCTCCCCTGCTTCCCACAAATCAGATGTTCACGGGAAGTCTGAAAACAAGCAGGGGCAGGTGGCAGCAGGTAAACTGGGGTGGGGGAGGGGCGCGAGGAGGTATGCGGGGAGGCACGGCCCAGTCCGGCTCTGGTTGAGCACCCCCGGCGGCTCTGGCTCTGGCTTGGCGCCGGCCCCGGTTCCGGCCGAGCGCACTGGCCCGGCCCCGCAGCTCTGGCCGAGCACCCCCGGCCCGAGCGGCTCCGGGCTGGGTCGGCTCGGGCCACGGGGCGCCAGCCCCAGTTCCGGCTGAGCGCGTCGCCCCGGCCCCGTGGTTCCAGCCCGGCGCCAGCCGAGCACCCCTGGCCGGCACCGGCCCCTGTTCCAGCCGAGCACGCCGGCCTGGCCCCGTGGCTGTGGCTCCGGCCCGGCTCAGCTCGGGCCCCAGCCGAGCGTGCCGGCCAAGCAGACCCGGACCCAGCGGCTCCAGCCCAGGCCCAAGCCCTGCAACCCCGGCCTGATTCCTGGGGGCGGGGCTTGCCAGGAATCAGGCCCCGCTCTTGCTAAAGCCGGCCCTGCTTGGAACTGCTGGTACCAAGAGCCTGTTGGCATTTCATTTACCTTTTATTTTTAGAGGATTTCAATTGGGCCATAAAAACTGCATCCTGAAGCGTGGCGTACAAATATGAGGATTTGGGGAAGAAATATGTAAGGGAAAATTTGCTCTTTTAGAACATCCAGAACTTTCATTTAAAATTACTTGAGTGTAAAAAGCACTTTTGGAAGCTTACCATGCTGGTCTGTTTTTCTGTGGTTTTGTAACTTCGAAACCTTATATCCGAGTTTCTGGGGGAGAATGGACATTAGTCCATATTATGCAATAGGCCCTCTTAGGTTTTTTCAGACTTAGATATTTTGTCTTCATTGTAAAAACAAAAGAACTGCTTTTTCCTAGTGATTTCACTGGTGGGTTGCGTGGTGTGTATTCCTCATCCAAAATTCACTGGAATTTTGGTTCTAGAAATGGTTCTTGTGTTTGAAGAGAACACATTGCTAGACCCCGCAAAGGGGGTGTGTTGCTGTTTCATTGATATGTATTTCTTCAGCATTTAAAAAATCTTTTCTGATTGCTGCTGAGGTGGTGTTCTAGGCCTTACACAGTTTTGACCCTTCACTATAAGATAACTATAAGCTAGGATAGTTCTCTTTATTTTGGTGTGCTGAAATATTGCTGTGTGTAATTTTCTATTTTGGCAGCAAAAGATTTCTTCTCGTTTCTGGTGTTTTACAAAAATAGTTGTGCGTGCCTGTAGAGAAGTCTCAAGTGTGAATACTAGAGAACTGAGTCAGACTGTCTTCAGATGAGGAAGGTTTTAATAGGATATTAAATTGTTTTTCTAAATCAGAGGCTATGCATAGCGTGTAGGAAAAGGTCAACCAGCTATAAAATGTGCAATAGTTATTGCTGAGACGGATGAAACTGCAGTAAGAATGGGTACAGCTTACAAGTTCTGCATTGATGATTGATTCTGCTTCATAGTAGGATCGTCTAGAAATGTTTTTCAATAAGTTCTTCAAAACTATTTCCATGGGAACAGCTATTCATTTGAAAACATCTTAGAAAATATGTTCGCTTGGTTAAGACAGTTAAATGACAGTAATTTTGTGAAATTAATTTTTTAGTCATTTGAATTCCAAGTGACTGTTCGTGGTGAAAAGGGAGTACTTCAAATACATTTTATTCTGTTTCACAGTGGTAGCCATGTTAGTCCGTATCAGCAAAAAGAACGAGGAGTACTTGTGGCGCCTTAGAGACTAACAAATTTACATGGGCATAAGTTTTCGTGAAGCAGGCTCCCTGGAGTATTAACATGTCTCATGTCAGGAAAAGGCTAGTGTTCCTGAAGTACTGGAAGTCTGAAACTCCTAATCTGCTCAGTGATCCTGGACAATTTACCTAACTTTTCAGCATCTCACTCTCCTACCTATACTACAGGGAAAGGACTATCCTGCTTCTTACTGGTGTTGAAACCTTCGTTTTGTAATACATTGTTTGTCCTGTCATGAAAGGTGCTATTTAAATGTAACATGTAGAGAGTTGTCTTTCCCCTGGAGGAAGATGTATTAGGCAGCATTAAGTACTCTCTCATTTGGGTGTTTGGAATCATTCATATGATGTTAGGCTGAGTCATCTTTTCTTGTCACTGAAGACTAGGCATTTGTGTCATATTTTCAGACTGTTGATTCGGTGACTTCTTTTCCCTGACGGGAGCTGCTTGTCTTTAATACCACTTTTCAATACTAATATGTTGTCCCATATTATAATAATTTAATATCTGTGTAACTTGTATACGAACTTCTGATACAGGAGCTGGAGAAAAGCTTTTGTTTCATAGTGTCTTTTCTTCTTCTTCTACAGAGAAACAAGAAAAAGAAGTTGACATGTATGCTAACCTTTCAGATGAAAAGGCTTTCGTGTTTTCAGTGGCCTTGGCAGAAATAAACAGAAAAATTATCAATCAAAGACTTATTCTCTAACTCATCAGCACAATCTGACTTAAATGTATGCAGTTTGGCTAGCATATTTCCAAGGTGTCATGGACTCCCGGGAGGCATATTGTCTTCATAAACCAGGACCATTGCTTTTCCCTGTTAAAACTGTGCTGCTGTTTTGGAGCTCACAGACTTTTGTGTATCTACACATCAGCAAGAAGCAACGTTTTAGTTCTTTATGCCTTGGAGTCTAATGCTTGATGAATGCACAGAGAGAATGCACCATTTCCAGAGCACTTCGTTAGATTTGCTGCCCAGAAATGCAATATTTTAAATACTTTCCGAAAGAATGATTTTCTTTTTAAAACTAAATATATTTCAGATTTTTCAACTATATTACAGTTTACATATGTATAGTTCATCTTAACCTTTTAATAAATTGATATTCTGATATTTTATTGAATTGGAAATTAAGTACATTTGTAACAGGACTTATTTAAGGTGTTGTGATCTTATTTTCCTTTTAATTTAAGAATTGTTACTCATTTTGAAGATGGTTCTGGACAGTTATTTTGATCAGTCGTTCTGGTTGCCCATTTTATAGATTTAATGGGGTTAAGCATGGAAGCAAAGCGGTTCCTTTCTCAGGATCACCTTGCGTGGTGACTCGTGTTCCATATGAACTCTCCTTAGTACAGAGACCGGGACATGGGCCGGGGATTGCTCTCAGCCCCCTCGTACCGCAAGCAGGTGGAGGGTCTATGTGGCTCCCACAACTGCCCAGTCTTCCCAGCCAGGCTCCACCAGCTGCTGGCCTGATCAGGGGTTGAGGCCTCCGGGGGGGAAGAGGAAGGGAAGTGGGCAGGGTCTGCCGTGGGGGAAAGGTAGCCAGGCCTGTCCACTTTCAAAAAGTGGGAAGGCTATGGCCCACTGGTCCTCCTCTGTTTCAGTGGCATTGTAAGGATCTTTCCCACCCTTTCCCTTTTCTTGTTATTGCTAAGGAGAGAACACAGGTATTCTACGGTGCAGGCAAACCATTAGATTCTCTTTAGTTTGTATTTCTAGAAATAAGAGACAAGGTAGGTGGGATTATTTTCTATTGAACCAACAAAAGATATTACCTCACCCACCTTGTGTCTCTAATATCCTGGGACCAACAAGGCTACAACAACACTGCGTACTAGAATGAACAGAGTCACTCTGTTATCTTAAACTGGTACCTGTTATCAGAGTTGAAATTATATTTTTGTAGTCAGTCATTTGAGTGTTCAGTTTCTAGCAGCAACATTCACATCTGAATGTTGATCAATATAAATCTGTAGAAACTTGTCAAGTGCCAGTGTTGACACAAGAACAAATAGATATAAATTAGCTATCAATAAGTTTAGACTTCAAGTTAGACGAAGGTTTCAAACTGTCAGAGGAGTGAAGTTCTGGAAGAGCCTTCCAAGGGAAGTAGTGGGGGCAGAAACCTAACTGGCTTCAAGACTGCACTTGATAAGTTTATGGGAGGAGATGGGATGATAAGGCTGCCTACAATGCGTGTAGCTGATCTGCCACTGTTAGTAGCAAATATCTCCAATGGCTGGTGATGGACACTAGATGGGGAGGGCTCTAAGTTACTACAGATAATGGTGATGGGGCAGGGATGCAGGGCCACATAGAGGGGGGGGGGGTTGAATGGGGGCACAAAAACCCATGGGGGTGGTGCAGGGCCACATGGGGATGGGGGGAGTGGATGTCTGAGTGGGAGTGGAGGGACACGTAGACAGGAGGTGCAAGGACACATGGGGGGGGGGTGCAGGGGGACAGGGGCAGCTGTGCCTGACTGAATGGGAGAGGCTAGGGGTCAGCCAGGGTCTGCATGGGGGAAGCTCCCGAACCACTCCCCCCTCCCCCCCCGTTTCTGTCCCCTCCCCCCTCAAAAGCTGTTCCATACTGTTCCCACCCATACTCAACAACCCTCCAAGTTCAAACCCGGGCTCCTTCCCAGCAATTATTTCCCTTTCCCTCATCTCCTCCATTACCCCTGACTCCCCCAAGCCTTTGCACTGCTTCTGAGGGGTGTGGGAAATACGGTTCTGTATTGTAGTTTAAATGAATTACTCAGAGTTCTGTATAAATATGCCCAGTAAGGAATCTTTATCAAAAAACATTTCCTGAATCTTTTTTGTTGTCTGTATTGTTACAGACATATTTGCTGACAGGTATTTTGAAATAAATGACCAAAAATAATTGAAACTGGTGTGATTACATTGTGTTAGCAAATAAAATTTGCAGAATTTGAAAATACTGTGTGCAGAATTTTTAATTTTTGGTGCAAAATTCCCCCAGGAGTAACATAGCTACTAAATTGACTCTCTCCTAGCTATGGTAGTCTTTGTGAAACATTAAATGACACTTCACATTTTTTTTGCACCTTTCACTCAGTGTTAGTCAAGATGAGGCTATTTCAAGGTATACAGTCAAGTATCTTAGATCTCAGGTTAGACCTCCCTTAATATTGATAGTCTCGGAGAAAGTCTTATCAAAATGCTTTTTAAAAAGATTCCATTATTCTTTTATGGTGAAGAATAGCTAATGAGGCCTTGCTGCAGAGCTAGCCAATAGAGTGGAGTAAAGATTTACTAACACAAAAGATTCCCAAACCCTGATGATATTTTCAATACTGGTACACGATTAAAAGGAAAAAGGTATGTTAATATCAGTTTCATTGAACCACAAGGAGGAGAGGAAATGGAAATTTTGTCAATTGGAAAAGTAAAACATAGGGAAAATTACTTCAATTTTAAACTGTTTATTATAAAATGATGTGTCCTTTTAAAGAAAGGTGTGGATAAAAGCATTTAACCTGCTGATCTATACAGGAATCACAAACAAGACAATTTTTTTCACTTAAACATATAGGTTTTCTGCTTTCCAAATCGATGTATGGTCACAGATGGCAAGTAGTAAGGAGAGACAAAGACTAGCTGGGTGGAATTCCATATGATATGACTACTGCTAAGGTTGGTAGCTGAAGCAAATCATTGTAAATGAATGCACTTTAAAGTGCATTGAAATCTAAATAAATGTACTGCAGCATCCATGTACTAATCATCAAAGCAGTAACCTAAAGCTAATCACTGCTAAATGATGAGGGGGGAAAAAAAGGTGGGGGAGGGAGTTGAATGCAATGTCTTTTAAATGTAGCTGTGCCTGTTTAAAATAACTGACTTCAATGGAAAACATTTACTTTCTGAGACGCACGACTACAGTGTGTATTTTCAGATGTAACTCTGTCTTTTGTACACCTCTTATTTCAATTCTAGGCCCTCCCTCTGAATCGCCTGAAAATACTTAATAACCAGATTTGTATTTCTTGAATTCTTCAATTCTGGATATTTTAGCTCCCATCTTTATATAAAAAAATAAGATTCTTTTAGATGAAAGTAAATGGAAGTGTTAGGTCACAATTGTCTTCTAAAATAATTAGAGAAACAATAAGGTTCTGAAGGATTCAGAATTCTCAGGATTAATCTAGGAGTCTAAAATTTTCCTCCGAGCTTTGTTTTATCTTTTACAGTTATAAATAGCAGCATGTAAACCAGAAAAGGAAATTATCCTTTCAGTTGATTCAGGGCAATTAAGATAAAAGTATTCACTCATTTAATACTGCCTGATATATTGCTACATTACTTTGCTGAGTAAAAAAGAAATCTCGAGGACTGAATCATTCATCTGGCATTTGTTGCCTTAGCAGCATCTTGAGAATGGGTGACGGGATTGTCTCTGACATAGGCTGTTCTTTTCAGATGATATATGAAACGGAGGTCTTGATTACTTGTCATCAGTAATAATCCTGTGTTTTTTGCAAGGTTGGGGGTGCCAATGCCTGGGTCCTAAAGCTAACTATGGCAACTGCACAGGATCTCCAACTTGCCATAGGACCTTATTTAGCTCCCATTGAAGTCTTTTGGGATCTTTCCATTGATTTGAATGGGAGTGCAATCTATCCCCTAGATACTAACAAAACAACTGTACAGCTGTAGGGTATCTTTGGAGAGAACCTGTAGAGAATCTCTGGAAAGATACTAGTATTGTAAAAGGAATCAAGCCCATTAGTAGGTAAAATATGCCTCCCTTCCACCCCCGTACATTAAGTTACGTAACAAAGTGTGTAATTCTACAGGATTAATCTTGCCTTCTGACTTCCATATCAGATATAGCAGGACCCTAGGTTGTGATTCACATGTGCCTGGATTCCAGTGAGCCTCTTGGACCCTTTAAAACTGGGACCTACAGTTGCAGGTCACATACCTTTTCCTAGTCACGTATGCAGTGTGGTTGTAGCTGTATTAGTCCCAGGGATAGTTGACACACAAGGTGGGTGAGGTAATATATTGGACCAACTTCTGTTGGTGAGACAGATAAGTTTTTTTTGTTTACACAGAGTCTTCACGTCTTCGGAAGAGCTTTGTGTAGCTCGAAGGCTTGTCTCTCTCACCAACAGAAGTTGGTCCAATAAAAGATATTACCTCACCCACCTTTTCCTAGCCATGTGCCTTACAGACAAACACACAAGGCGTCCTGCCTCTTATGAGAGATTCAGGGTCAAAAAAGGACAAGGTTAATGGGGGCTCTACATCTGCCAGTAGAAGGTCTGAGAGGAGGACACCTTGAAGAAGCAGGAGCTGGAAGTCTCCATTTGGGATGGCTTGGAAGTCCTGGATGGAAAACTGAAAGAACTGTGAAGCCCTGGAGGCAAGCCCTATGACAGTACCCTAAAAGGCAGTGAGACTGTTGTTTAGTTGCTTTGTTTTATTTTTTTAAATCTGTTTCTAAATTAATAAAGCCCCGAGCAAAGGCTTTGGAGTGTTGTTTCACTTACCTGGCTGGTGGGTTGGCCCACCAATTTACAGATAATCATGGAGGTTAGACTTGCGTCAGTCTGTCCAGTACGTGGCAATGTTCCTTGCTCATTTCCCATCCCCAGAGTATAATTCAAGGGAGGTCATGTTTATTTTCCAGAGCATACAAAGTTAATGCTAGTTAGTGTTGTAGACTTATGAAATCAGTTGAAATTAAACAGCTGGCATTCTGCATTCATTTAAACTCTTCTTACATTTGGTAGTACATGGACAGACTTGAAATGATCTGTGCAATCTGACAGACATGCATGGTTATGTCTCACCTTACTGTTGCCAGTGAATGGACACCACAAATTCTGATTTTGTAGTCTCTTGGAATGAGAAGGAGCAATGCATGCATTCTTGCAGTTCTTATTGGATTACTCACTACTCTGTTAGATGCCAATGATGCATGAAAGATGGACAAATCTATACCTCCATCAGGTTTGAGTGTAAGTGCACATACTTTCACTTGTATTTGCAGCTGGGGATGATACCTATACTAACGAACCTTACTGAGGATTCTTGAGAATTTAATAGGTCAAAGCTGAAACTGTTAAGGCTTTGAT